CATTTGCTTAAATACTTGTATCTATAAAATAACAACGTTAAACATAAAAAATGTCTTTAATAAATAAATTGTCAGACCTTGTCCATTTCTTTATATATATATATATATATATATATATATATATACAAGTGTCGCACGCAAAAAATTATAACATATGCCTCAACAAACAGTGTGTAAGAAAGGGTAACCTTACTTGTCATATTTCAGGAAGAGAAAACAGGGGTTACTGCCGCTTCTCTACGGACTGGGCCAGACTATGTGTTTTTTCCTGTAAGACCTACCGCCGGGGCCTAAGGAATTCCTTCGTCTCTGGGCTCTACATGACAACTGGTCTCATCAATATCATTCCTGACGTCATTCACCGGTCGTTACATGATCATATGACTACTTCGATGAAAGGCAGAGGATCGCCATTTGTAACCCAACAAAGGCATTAAATGCAGCTATATATTGGTCCACAAATATTTGAAATATTAGACAATAACAGGAAAAAGTATTATAAAAATATAATACATTTACATGAAATAAACTGCAGCAGGATAGAACAAAAATACATCGCGATGCAAAGTAAAATATAAGTTATAATTAAGTAAATTGAACAGGTAATGTGCCCCCCTTACATATGTGTTCGAAGCCGATTCTCATGGGTGAAAAATCTCGTCTTTTGGTAAGCTGTCTTGGCTTAAATAGTTGAATTATCTTTCAGCTTTAAATTTTTATAGTTATCTCTCTCCTATACCTAGGGTAAAATGGATTAAGAAAGAAAAATTCTTTGCTTATACAGTTGATGTCAGATAGAGGAAGAAAGTTCTAATTTTTGTTTTTGTGTGTATTGTGTGTATGTTTGTGTGTATGTTTGTCTGCGCGCGCACGACAGTCAGAACATTGGTGAAAATAAATATTTTATAATTTAACAATGGGAATAATCCAATAAACGAAATAAAGTCAATCGCTATCTACTGTCTTCTTGATCCCTCTTCTTTTATTGTACTTGTTCCTTAATAATGTTTATTTTCTTTATTTTTTTTTTTTCTTATTCTATCACTTCTACTAACCACCTGTGTATCAGTGAGTTTACTGTTTTGCTTGGGGAGAAATGATTAATAAAATAAAGCAGAAATACCGAACTGTCATCACACTGAGGCATTAGATTTAGAAAACAAGGAAAAAGAAAATAGACACTGGAAACATTAACATTAAACAGCTAGTTCTTTTGGAAAATCTCTTTGCATAAAACATGAATGGTAAATAAAACACATACAGTGATTGAGCTTTTAGAATATTGGCTTTCTGACTATAAAAAAAAAAAAAAAACGAGCGCGAATCTCACACAGGGGAATTCTTGAAAACAGCAGCCTGGAGAGATGAACCCATCATAAAGTGATTGAAAATAATTCTGACCGTACTGGCCTTGTTCACGCCAGAAACGGTAACTAAAATTCACTAAGGCTATTGGAAGTATAAAGCATAAATTGGCTATGTAGGAGTTAAATAAAGACAATTAGAGCTGAGAATGTGTCTTCACTAGCGATTAGCGAACAACCCGAGCGGATAGGCATCGCCTAATGATTCCACTTCCATATCAAATATTGGCACATATGAAACTTGCGTGAAGATGGTAACTTTTAAAAATCTATCTATCTATCTATCTATCTATCTATCTATCTATCTATCTATCTATCTCAGATTTTTCAGATCCAGTCTATACAGATCTCTCTCTCTCTCTCTCTCTCTCTATATATATATATATATATATATATATATATATATATATATATATAGTCTGTATTTAGGCAGCAATACCTCTTTTATAAATGTTCCGTTAAAGACGACAGACGATATGGCATTTTATTCAGTTTTTCTCGTGTGCATACAAGTGTTGTCTTTCTGAAGTTCCGAGCGCTTTCGGTTATACTTCTAGCCATTATCAGGGATGATTTTATTTTTACTTTCAACTGAATGTATGAGTGGTGTTATGTAGGTATCTCGAGTTATAGGAATTCTTTTTTTAACAAACATGGCCAGAACATTGTGGCTGTGATCGTATTTAATACTACTAAGTGTTAGTTCTTTCTTTTTTATTATTAGGGCTTTCATTATTTTTAATATTTATTACATGTGGATGAGTATATTATGCATGTTTTTTTCTACTAGTATGTCTGGCAGATTTTTGTGTGTGCTTAAATGAGTCCTAATGAATCTATTGTCGGTTAGGTGTAACGTAATTCGTCTTGTTAAATATATAGTAGTTTGACCGATGTAATTATTTATGAGTTTGGTTTGAGTAGGAACACAGTTCTTTACGGGGCATTTAAAAATATAACAAATGTTGGTTCATTGTTTTGATTTTACAGGTGTGTTGTTATTTCTGACAAATTTTTAAAAATTTTGTAATAGATAATTAATTTAATTTTCTTTTTCGAGTCTACTGGGGTAGTGTATTTCTTTATCATATTTCTAAGTGAAAATTTATCTTACTTATAGTTGACGTGTATTTTTATAGACAAAACAATAACATTAACATCTTCTACATAATCCAAGCTTAACTTATTGGACCGCTCAGACTTACTAGTAAATCTATTTGTTTTGTAAAGTAAATATGAAATAAATAATAATGCTTTATATTCGAATATTAATCGATGTATTCGGTTTATTTTAATATTCTTAAATTAAAGAAGAAAATTGAAAACACAGGACGATCGCTGTCTATATTCGTCCGAGTATTTTAACAAAAATGTCTTTTACCAAAAGATCAACCAATTAGAATTTGCATACTTCATCTTTAAGCGAATCTACAGTGGATCCAAAACGGATTGTACGTGGATTTATATGTCCATTAGAGAATTATAATGGAATTTAACGAACGACCAACAAACACGCCACCGTCAACTTGAATGGCTTTGATCAGATGTAATAGTCACGTAATTGCTGCTTGTTCAATAGAATTATGAGATTTGTAAACTATCAATGAACACCGCTTGTCTGCTTTATAACAACGTTCTTACTTTAATGCTCTTTTCATATATTTCCCTGATTCTAATTCGCGTAAAGATAATCGCATACTGCCTGCCGATATTTATAGCATATATTTAAAACCATAATTTTAATTCGCAACAATTTTTACAATTGTATCAGTTAGTTACGTTTTGGTAGGGGCAGGGATGTATTTTTCAATGAAAAAATGAATCCCTAACGTAACTAATAACTGACACATCAAAATACAGCGATAATTGAACACGCAAACACCCCTTGTCTGGTTGAATGGATTTCTCTGTAACCTTGGAAACGTGAATTATGATTTTTTTCTGTGTCTTTACAACCCAGTAATTTTAAAAGTTACTCCAAAATTCGCTTGCGGATGAAATAGAGCTAATATCTTTAATTACAAAATTAAATTCGGAGCTTTCAGCTTCCATTTTTGAAACATGGTTAGAACTGTGTAGGGAAAAACATTTTAAATCAATTTATATATATATATATATATATATATATATATATATATATATATATGCGGGAATTCCACTAGTATACAGGGGTTACAGGGAGTAAAAAGTCAGATAAAAGACTGACTATAGATATGATTGCTGAGAAGACAAAACAATTTGCGAAATTCAAGGAGACAGAAGATTGCAATTTACGTTGCATTTAAATTTTTGAAGGTTGCTGCTATTAGGAAGCAAGTAAACGGAAGGCAATTCCACAGGCGGGAAGTGCGAAAAAAAGAAAATGTTGGAGTAGAAGTGGTGGATGTATTTAACTATTTCAGCAGTAAAAGTCTGGGACCTAGCTACCAATCTAGTATCATGCTTAAATTCGCGTACTCGAGGCACCAGGGAAAGATTAGTTTCCGGGAAAATATTTGTCGAAAATACAGAGAGAAGCCACGTCACGTCGGTGAGAAAGTGACTGAAGTAGAGATGTCAACTCAGCATCGATTACACTACCAATCCCTTTTTAATAATTAGGGTTTAGTTTGCAACAGTTGATAAACAAATTAAACGATTTTTGTTCATAGATATAACATTAAAAAGAATGTAGACTACTAGCAACAAATCCAAATATATTTTGTGTTCTCTATCTGGTTTTTTCTCCAGAAGAAATATTTGAATATTAATCACCCTTCTCAAAACTAGAGATAATACCGAAATATCTGTTACTTGCGAGGATGTTATCATCTTACCTTGGAATTTGACCCGGGTACTTCAATTTAGATTACCTTTTTTATCGCCGAGGTTGGGATATTTAGTATATCTATTGGAAACCTTTTAGAACATTTGTGTAGTATTCATAATTAATTTTGTTATCGTTTGGTTTCAATTTTTTGATATAGACACTTTCAAGGATTTTTATTTTATGAACCAAAGAACTTTTTGAACCAGAACTCCGAAGTCTTGAGTCCTTGCATAGATATTAGGAAATTTCTCTTAAGCACATATAAGGCTGGATTAAAAAAAAAAAAAAGTGTCCAATTTTAAGTAAGAAAAATCCAACCTGTATAGCGATTTAATATCTCAAAATGATAAAACACTGACCGGAATGGTAACGCGTTTCCGACCACCAAGAACTCGACAGATGGTTTACTTCGCGAATTAATCAGAGACAACGCGGAAACGTAAATGCCTTAATGTGGCAGTGTAAAATAATGGGAATGTGGGAGTGGAGGAAATGACGTGGAGGGAAAAAAATTATCTTTTTCCAACTTCATCCGGGTTCGTATAGCCTCAATGTTAAATTCTTGATGTGCCATGATATCAAAAAAGTAGTTCAGTTTTTGGACATAGAACTAAACCTGTTGACTGAAACCATCTCACCATTCATAAAACCTAATACGGCTATGAGATACGTAAATACGGTATCCCGCCACCCGTTAAGTGTGATTAGACTCATCCCGTTAGGCGTAAAATGCAGATAACATTCCAATTAACACCCCACCGATTCATTTTTCTTATATCCATTACCAATTACAAGCCATTATCCAGTACACCATCAGTATACCCAAGCTTACAACTTCCGATATTCCCAGGCGGTCTCTCATCTAGGGACTGACCAGGATCGACGTTGCTTAACTTTAGTGATCGTACGGGAACCGGTGTTTCAACCTGACGAAACCGTAAGCCACTGTCATAAGCATTGCCTGCAGAAAATTCAAGAAAACTACGTCATTTCCTTGAAGATAATGACTGAATATGAACTGAGCGTTCAACACTGCTGTTATAATGAGCCTGGGTTAAAATGCAAGGCTATGGATCACTGACACGAACTTTCCTGATTTAAGTAGGTGCAATTACGTGTTGGGAATTGTCTATGATATTTTAAATTCTGAAGCACAAAGAGCCTGGGGAATATTTCAAAACCTGAAAACTGAAGAATTGGACGTATGTAAGAAAGAATATGCAACGGAAAGAAGACATGAATCTGAAGAAAAAAAAATAAATTGTAGTCTTTAGTGAATGATAAAGTCATTTATAGAATATTCTCAAGCAGGATGCCGCACTTAGTAAATGACCGTAGGTGATTGAAATAAAATTTATTTTGCGAGAAAATATTTCCACAGATGTTTCTGCTTTTAAGAATCCAAGATATTCTGGTTTTCCCCCAAATTCTGTTTTTTTATAAGCAACGTTTCTCCCTTGAATATCATCCCTGGTTCATGTTTTGGCATTCCTTATTCGTTACTTTATTCCATGTTTTCTTTCAATATGTTATAAGTGTGTTAAATTCTTTACACATTCTTTTCTCCTTATCTAACGAACACCACATTTAAGCTACGCTTAGAAAATCATTAAGGACACATCGGCGTGGTGTAATGGTTAGAAAGCTTGTCTTGCTAGATCAATTACGACTGGGTAGTGAGTTCGATCGTCACTGAGTGCTCCATACTTTCGGCCTTGTGCCACATCGAAGCAGCGCTTAGACAATCAATATTTGGGCACCTAGGCGTGGTGTAATGGTTTGCAAGATTGTCTCGCTAGAACAGTTACTACTGAGTAGTGAGTTCAATCCTCACTGGGTGCTCAATACTCTTGGCCTTGTGACACATCTAAGCTACGCTTAGAAAATCATTAAGGACACCTCCGCGTGGTGTAATGATTAGAAAGCTTGTCTTACTAGATCAATTACGACTGAGTAGTGAGTTCGATCCTCACTGGGTGCCCCAAACTTTTGGCCTTGTGCCACATCTAAGCTGGGTTTAGAAAATCACTATTTGGGCACCTCGGCGTATTGTAATGGTTTGCAAGCTTGTCTCGCTAGAACAATTACGAAAAGTGAGTTCGATTTGGGTGCCCCATACTTTCGGCTTTGTCCCACATTGCATGGAAATGAGGGCACCTCGAGGCGGTGTAATGGTTGCAAGCTTGTCTCTGCTAGAACAATTACGACTAAGTAGTGAGTTCGATCCTCACTGGTTGCCCCTATACTTTCCGGCCTTGTGCCACATCTAAGCTAAGCTTTGAAAAAAGGGCACCTCGAGACGGTGTAATGGTCAGCAAGCTTGTCTCGAGGCGGTGCCCCATACTTTACATGGAAAAAGGGCACCTCGAGACGGTGTAATGGTCAGCAAGCTTGTCTCACTAGAACAATTACGAATAATTACGACGATCCTGACTAGTGACTTTCGGCCTTCGATCCTCACCTGGTTGCTTGTCCATAGAACTTCCGACTGACCTTGATTTCGATCCTCACATCCGGCCTAATCTAAGCTAAGCTTAGAAAAAGGGCACCTCGAGACGGTGTAATGGTCAGCAAGCTTGTCTCGCTAGAACCATTACGACTGACTAGTGAGTTCGATCCTCACTGGTTGCTCCATACTTCCGGCCTTGTGCCACATCTAAGCAACGCTTAGAAAATCACTATCTAACCCAGAATTGTCAACTGTCTCTTTTAGATGCCAAGTATTAGTGTCATTTGTGTTTTTTTACCCCCAAATCCTTCTCGTTGTACCGTCCATAGCATTTGCAGCATCCTTCTGTAAAACCATATTTCAAGTTACCTTTTTAGCTGTGTGGAAATTGTCGATATGCTCTCAAACAGGCAAAACACTTACACGTGTGTTCGGAAGATTTCAGCCGTCTCTTTCTGATTTTAATAGCATGTTTCTTGTAGTTCCTCTTTTCCTTAATACTTCTTCGTTTGACACATCGTCTGTTCCTATTCTTGCCAACACTAATCGGTCGATTCATGTCTCTGTCGCTTCAAGTCTTTTTTTCTATATCAGTGATTGGAGGTTAGATATATTTCGATAATTTCTGCTAACGACATTTTCCATACTCTTCATGCTTGGTTTTCGCATCTTTTCCATTTCTGATTCTGTTTTGCTTGTTCAGTTGTTTGTTACTACACAACTCGGAAGGTTAACATCTGTTCCTGTCTGATTTTCTTTTCTTGTCAGTCATTTAAGTGACATACGTTTTACACGCTTTTAAATCATAACTGACTAGGCAGAAGATTTTCCCGCTGTAGGTTGCCATTTGCTTCTACGGTAGCTTGTTTTCCAACCAAGTCTATAGGACTTAGTCTCTCCTGCTATTCAACCCATAGCTGGTGGGAAAGAGATGGATTCGTAAGGGTATGAATGCGTTAGTGAATTATTCGAACGCGATTGGAAATCGAACTCGGCTCTCCGAATTCTAATTCAGAGAGGATATCAATTGCACTACAACGCACATGATTTTGTCTAGGAAATTAAAAAAAGAAAGCTTTTACAGCGTTAATCAAATTCCTGATGGACGACATTAATTATTGATAGAACGTCTGCAGGAATTGCATTCTGCTATCTGTAGAGAATGTTTATTATTTATTCATTTTATTCTTATCTAATCCTTGTATAACTTTATACAGTTGTATCATACGTGTCAAGTTGCAATTGGTGCGTTTTTTCTAGGGAAATTCATGGCTAGATATAAAATGATCATATATACTATGGCGTGAAAATAGGATTATTTATCTTCAGAGAAGTCTCCGATGCCAGAAACTGTTAAATTTTGAATGTGTTCTTCTGACATTAGCGTTTAAATTTACAATAATACGGTCGGTTAAAATCCGACAAGGAAATAGAAAAATCCTTTCATTCCTTCCTTACGAAAATACGAAACCACATTGTTTATTCTATTACACCTCTGTTTCTGTCCTCTAATTCAATGTCAGAGGATAACTTGATTGAGAAACTTGGTTATTCACCTAGCGTTCTCGTCTGGAAGATGAGCTTTTCAGAGAATTGACGGTGGATACTCGAGAAATCATTCTTGAAGTATTCGTAACACATCTTACACTGGTTAGGATGTGACGCCATCTTTGAGGTAATAGCTGCTTACAATTACATAGTCATTACTCATTCTTTCGGAATGAACAAAAAACATCAATCAAGTATTTATTTTAACCAATGAAGCAGGATATCACATTAATTTCTCAGTATGAATTAATGTTTCTTTTTAATTTGAAAATAACTGTCTAAAAGTAAATAATTCAATAAATAAAAGGTAATAAATACTATGGCATTTAATTTAGATAGGCAGCAATTTACAAAAGCAAGCTGAATATATATATATATATATATATATATATATATATATATATATATATATATATATATGTTTGGGAACCTTGTGGCATTCGGTGCACCAGGTCTCTGTATTCGTCCTTCAAAAGTGTGGATGGTCCTGCACGAGGCCTTCACCACTATAATCAAATCTCATGTGCCGGTGTCGGGCTGTCGGTTTCCTGAAACTGATCTGATTGACCCTCATACGTCGAATCTCGACGGAGAGTCGATTATATATATATATATATATATATATATATATATATATATATATATATATATATATATTAAGACATTTTTATGTTTATATGTTCTTTTTTATAGATACAAATATTTAAGTAAATGCTTTGTTTATAATAAACAGTATTAACGACATTTACCGGCATGAATATGCGAGAAATTTTCATAGGAAATATGCAGAAGGATTTGAGTCACGCAGAACATTCCCCAGGGTTGACAACCGCTATGTGGCCAAGATCTCGAACATTGCAATTTTTTTGTTTTCAAAATTCAAATCCCGAAAGAAAAGGATTTCAAGACGTCGAGGAAATACAAGTGACTGAGACAAGGCACCTGCTTGGTGCCTGGAAAAATAAAAGTGCTCCACAAATGCTTCCCACAATGGCTAATTTAACGCTGGATAAGGGGTGTGGTTTCAAAAACAGGGTTACTTGGAAGGAGAATAAATGCCGATATTTAGGTTTTAGAATTGATAATATTTGTCGCGAAACATTTTTATGATACTTGATGTATATATATATATATATATATATATATATATATATATATATATATACATATATATTACGGATACCTCGTATATATATATATATATATATATATTATGGATATATATATATATATATATATATATATATATATATATATATATATATATATATATATATATATATATTACTGAGTTATTTTTTCTGATTTCTTTTGTAGGTCTGATGAATTGGATCGTAAATTACGATTCCAAAGTAATAAATTATAACCATGAAAAAAAATCAGAGTTTATGTCTTTTTTATTATAGTCTTACTCTGTCCTGGACATTGAGTTCTACCTGGATCTATTCCCTTTGAAATTTATATATATATATATATATATATATATATATATATATATATATGTGTGTGTGTGTGTGTGTGTATATGTGTGTATGTGTGTGCATGTGTGTATGTGTGTGCATGTGTGTGTATTAACCACTAATATTATCTATCTATCTATCTATCTATCTATATATGTATTATAAAAATATTATTATATATATATATATATATATATATATATATGTGTGTGTGTGTGTGTGTGTTATAATATTTTTCTTATAATAAATTACAATAAAACATTTTACATCGCTACACAAAAACTTTCATATTTCGGTACTGAGATAGTACCTCATCAAGCGATTGTTGTCAACCATCGCATGATAAAGAACCATCTCAGTACCGAAACATGAAATCTTTTTGTGTAGCGAAGTAAAATATTTTTATTGTAATTTATTATAATAAAAATATTATATTTTGCTCTACTTTGTATTTAGTACTTTTTAAAAA